TGCCTCTGTGCTGTCTGTGTGTTTAACACATCCCTGGGGACCCAAATAGGATGGAAGGCTGAAGAATCAGGGCATACACCACCAGCTGCTTCACAAAATTCCACAAATTGAATTCAACAAATGTTTAAAATGCCAAATATTATTCAAGGCTTGGATCACATACAATGTCAAGGAATGTTATGTTACCAATAAATCAAATTCAGAGTTTCAAAACGAAAGAGAATAAGTCACAACAAAAACACCTTACACTTCAAAAAATACTAATAATCTTTGGATAACCAATCATTTTAAGGTGGTTGATTTAACAAAAAGATACAACTGTCAACACAGAAACTTTACAAACTCCCTATAATTATTTCAATGAGCACAAAAGACACACCACTTTAGGAATAACTATGAAATTCAGGGAGAATAGCTTACTCTCTAGCTCTATATAACATATGAATTACAAAAACTGTAAAATAGCATAGTAACACCAATAAAGCACTAATGATCACAAAAGGAGAAATAATTCTATTTTAAAATGAAAGGTTTAAACAAACCTTTCTTTCACAATCAGTATTTTCAATACAATTCAAGCCTTACAAGCAAGGCTATGTTTTAAAGGAACGGAATTGTCACACCTTCACCCTCAAAGCTTATCCACTTTTCAGATGAAGTATTAATTCTCTAAACCCAATGAAGATTTAAGGTTTCACAAATGAGATATGCTTGAATAAGAGAATAAAGAATCATTAGGTAAACTTAATTTCATATCAACTTAAATGCAAGTATGACTATTTGCAACCAGAATATTTAGAACACTTTAATATATTTTCTGTATTGCCTACTGATTTGCCAGTTTTGGTTCTTTACATTTTTAAAGGCAGCATGATAAAAATAGAACCATCCACATTTCACGAGGAATATCACTTTGGACTAGAGGATAATATCACCTCATTATCAACAAAAATAGCCTATTTTCTGAATGCTTTTAACCAAGTGAAAAATTCAAGTGTAAATGAAATTCAGCATTGTTTCATGGAAAGTGATATGAATTGCAAAACAGAATATCCAAGCTCTCTCTTCTCAGCTCTGCCAAGGACTGAAAAACCACAAGTGAGCGTCAAACCTCTCTGTGCACCAGTTTCTCTATGTGAAAGGAGGATTGACACCAACTCCTCCCTAAGAATGCTTCTGAAAGGACAAATGAGATGATTTCTGTGAAAGCCCTTTAAGATTTCTGAAGATAAACCCATCATATTAATAGACGTCATCACACCACAGTTATGAAGGAAATGACAGAATGCACTTTCCATCAAAAACAACAAATATAAAATTTAAATATAAAAAAATAAAGTTAAACCCTTTGTTCTTAAAACCAAAAGGAGTGTTCAAGCACACACTAGTGTCACATGTTCATACCACGATACCCAATACTGCTGTAATTATAGTAATAAGAGCCTGCTCGTCAATATTACAGCTTAATGCTGAACCACCCCTTCTTGGTTTCCCCGTAGGAAACCATGTAAGGTCTGATCATTTCCAGAAGAGAAAAAGAGAATATGAGAGGGGTAAGGAGATTGTTCTCCTGAGCAATCCCAAGAAGTCACACATAAAAATACCTTGTCCAGATTCACTAGGCACAGGGGGTGTGCTCCCCATTCTGTCAACATCCTTCCCCTCTATGACAATTTGAACTGAAATAGCTAGACTACTAAATCTAAAGGGTAATAGAAAAGAGTCAAAAAATATAGTTTCATACTGCCCTTGATCAATGACTCAGACTCCCCAGGGAGTCCAAAACACAAGCTCATTAATGTTTTGAAGTCCATAACTTACATCAAGCAATCTAAACTCTTAAATCTTTTTAACCTAAAATTACTCTCTTTCAGGGAAAATTTATGACTGATTTTAAAAGGAAATTAAATTTTAATGTACTTAACATACTTAAGATAGTTAACTTCAGATAAAGCCACTTAAATTTTTTCATATTTTAAATCAGCTAAGAATCTGGTTGCTTGATAGGTGCAATAACAATTCTGAAACTAAGTTTTCATTAACAACTCTGGTAATAAGATAGTACCTTTTGTCCAAAGCCTTCTACTTCATTACTTTCATTTTACTTTACCCAAATAAGTATTTAAAAATTCAAAGCAACCACAAATGGCTTTCAAAGCCTTTTAAGAATAACTTGAATCAGGTTATAAATACTAAAATTTAATTGAAAGGTCACCCTCATGAGAATGAAAGTTCTCTACTGGACAAGAACCTCTCAAAAAAACAGCTGCCTAGACAAATGAGATGGACAGCAAGTAATGAGCTCAATTTAAATATAGGAAAAGATTCAAAAGGACTCAAAGGCAACTTCCTACTCTATCCTTAACTTCAACTACACATATAAACAAAAAGATACGCAGCAATAAATTTAAGAGTACGTTATATGTAAAATTATAAAAACAAATGTGGTAAACAACACCTCCTTAAAGGGTGTCCTCTAAAACAAACACTAATTCTCTTCTTCCTAAGGAAAAGAATTACCATCAAAATGTAACAGTTCCCTGTTGGGTGTGCTGCATTCCATTGCAGCATAGGGGTAATTTCTAGGAATCTCCTCCAGCTTGGTGCAAATCTTCGTTACATGTGAAGTCTTGACAACGTCCCCATAATTAGCGAGACCACCTTATAACAAGGCCCTTTTGTTCATTAATAACTAAACTTCCTTGCAAAAGTTCAAGTGGACTCACTATATGCTAAATTTTGTTCAATGGCAAATGAATATCAACACAGACATTTGATACACTAATTTAGACTTAAAATAACTTCAACTTGGTATAAAAACCAAAATAAGCAACTAGACATCTTTATAACAATCAAGCATCTTCCTTCTAGGACACCTGTACACCGGCTTCACATTCAAGAAGAGGTCAGTGTGTGGCTTTCCCATTTTACTAGTCATTTTTACGAGCGTATACACAGAGGCATCTATGTATTTATGCTGTGCATACAGAAATAAAGCAAATAAATTCAGAATGAAGTAACAATTAATGCTTTTCATAAACAAAAATCCAACAAGATTTAAATGACCACACCAGAAATTTAAGATTTAACCAAAGATAATTTGTCCCTTTTTTGTTGAGATAAGTTTAAAAAAAAAAACTGTGTATCATCCACCTAGAATATTTTAGACACACTTGAAGAGACAATCGACGAGATTCAAAGATAAATTTCATGACTATGACACCCAAAACCTATCCCATGGACATTTACTGTAATCAACATATCCAATCATGAGGAAAGCAAGGGATGCAGAGCTCTTTCCATATAAAATATGTTCAATACTGTTTATTTAACATATCCCTGCTTTATATATATTTCCTTCAATGTAATTAGTTTGGTTATAAGGGCATTTAACATTCTCATGTTAACAAAATATTCTCATTCCAAGTACGATTACCATATAATGCTTTTGTAAAATAACTATTTTACAAATTACATGAGCTACCGGAGAAAATGACATAGATGTAGCTCTTATGTTAAAAAAAAAAAAAGAATACACACCTATTTTCTAAGCCATAAACTTTTAAAGGCATGTCATTCAGTTGGGACATTATCTTCAGACACTGCAAATGCTATTGTATTATGATATGATTTTCTTTATAAGGCAAAAATCCATCAGATATCCACCTGAATTACAGAAAAACTTAATGAAACTTAGAGGAACACCTCACCAGGAATTCTACTGGTCTTGCATATTTCAACGTGAGAGTAAAGATTTCTTCATTCAAACTGACTAAACTGCCACTAAGACACAACTTGGACCAAAAACATATTAAATTAGAAAGAATGGCTACAGCTTAATGAAGTTACAAGTACGATTATTTTTCCACCATCACCTACAATCTAGAATAGTAAAGCTGGAGAAGATACAACTCTTCCGATTTAATTTTGCTATGCTAACTTTATTTTAAATAAAAGTGCTTATCATTAAGAACATAATGCTTCAAACCAGAGGAAGAAAAGGATGCAAACAACTTACAAACCTCCAATAGAACAACCAGGATCTATAGATCCCTAATTTAGTATCCACCAAGCCTTCAAGCAAAAGAGAAACATTAGTTACCCCTAGTCAAGAATTTGATCTAATGTCAATTATATCTCAATAACGCTGGAATGAACAAATAATAGAAAAATAAAAACGGATTTTAATCTAGAACTGAAAAAAAGAATGAGGAGGATTTTAGATCACATCTCAAAAGAGGCTGACCACTTAAAGTCTTATTGTGATCCCTTTTCCAAGCCACCTTGCAATGGTCAGTTCTGGCTATAAAGGGTGGAAATCAGAAATGAGAGAAAGAAATAGGCAAAATCACTTTCGATGCAAGAATCAAACTTGCAGAGGAGATTGAAATACAGCAAAAAAGCGCTGGGGAAAAGTATCACTAAAAAGGATCATATCTGTTAAGTTTCTAACGAGGACTAAATGGGCAATTAAGCCTGACAGAGGGCCGCCCGAGTGCACTGGGTGGCAAGGAACGAGCTGCCGGGGTATATCACAGCTAGAATGGCAACTAAGGATAGTCCAACGTAGGGAGAGTGTTGTAGGGCGCTTCTGTGGTCATTTTCCTCTGTTGGTACTAACTGCACGCGATAGTTTACCTGAAAATCCCAAACTGCCTCAAAGCCAACGTGCCATGAGGAGAGGCCCGAAGGCAGCACCTTCATTGTTGAACGTACCACTGCCTCTTCCAGTCTCTGCTTCCCCGACTTCCCGGTGGTTCGGCCCCCTCCTCCACCTCGCTTCCCAACCTCTGAACCCTCAAGATTGACACAACTCGCGGACTCTAAAATTGCTCAATTTAGTATTACACAGATGGCACGGGAAAGCTATAAAGAAGCAACAAAGACTCCCGAGGACCTGCGCTTCCTCTCGGGTTGGGCCACCGGACGGCCATTCGACTCATTTCTCGGTGCCTGGAAGTGCTGACAGGCGCCCGTCACAGCGCAGGGGAGCTCCTTACCTGCATAGAAGCGGATGAGGCAGCCGATCTCCGAGTCCATGCCCTCCTCCTGCACCCTCCACAACTCCCCAAACCCCAGCTGGAAGAGGTAGTCATTTTGGATCTGCAATGGCTTCTCGTCCGCCTCCAAGCGCCGGGTGGTCTCTCCGTGGAGCTGCACGTACAGGGTGGGCGGCGGCAGCGCCTTCTCCGGGGTGGCCCCGGGCCCACCCGGAGTCGACGGGGGGCGGCCAGGGGCCACGGCTGCTGTCGCCTTCTCCTCCCGAAGTCGATCGCGGGCGGCCCCGGCCGGGCCGTCGACGCCCCTCGGCGCTTTCGGCTGCGGCGGCGGCGGGGAGGCCGTCGGGGAAGGCGGCCGGGCGCCCGCTCCGGGCCGGGGCTGCGCGGAGCGGCCGGGCAGGCGGGGCTGGACCGGAGCCCCCGTCGGGGCCGGGGCGGCGTCGGCCTCGAGCTCCTCGGACGACGAGGCGGAGCCGCCGCCGCTGCTGTAGGGGTCGAGCTGGTCGGACACGCTCTCGGCGCTGGGGCTCAGGCTGAAGCTCTCGGTGTCCGAGGCCGGGCCCGCGGCCGCGCCGTCCAGGGGCCGCGGGGCGCCCGGCTCGCCGGGGCTGGAGTCCGAGGGCGCGGGGCTGGCGCGGGAGGCTCGGCGCGCCCACCCGGCCGGGGGGCCGCCGGGCAGCGGCAGGTCGACGGGAGGCGCGCGCGGCGGGCCCCCGACGGCAGGAGGCCCGGGGTCCCGTGGCTCGGCGGGCGCCAGCCGCGGGCCAGCGTCGGGGGGCGGCTCGGCGCCCAGCACCTTCACCACGCCGCCGCCCTTGTGGCCCAGCTGGAGCAGGCGGGCGGCCACCTCGCCGGCCGTGGTGTCCAGCGTGCAGAGCACCGGGCGCAGGTAGGTCGAGGCCATGTGGCGGTCGAAGACGTGCACGCAGCCCCGCCGGAGCTGGTGCCTCACCCAGTCCCGGTCCGACGGCTGCAGCTGCAGCATCTGCCGGTGCTTCAGGAGCAGCGTCTTCCTGTCCAGGCTCCGGGTGCACAGCGATGCCGAGGCCGAGCAGGAGGCGGACAGGCCGGCGGCGCCCGCGGAGTGCGAGGCGGCGGCGGCCGAGCACGACGACGAGGACGAGGACGAGGACGACGACGACGACGACGACGAGGCGGCGGCGGCCACGGACAGATTCCGCTTCAGCCGCCCTCTCCGCAGCAGAAGGGAGTTGGCGCCGCCGCCAGCCCCCGGCCCCGGGACAGCCCCGCCGGCGGGGGGCTGGGGCGCGCCGCGCCGCCGCCTGCGCCCCGCGCCTCCCGCCCTGCCCGGCAGCGGCCCCGGCTGCGCCTCGCCGGGGGCCTCTTCCCGCGCCCTGCCGCTCGGGGCCGCCGGGGTCAGCGCGGGCTCCGGGCTCCGGCCGCCCCCAGCCGCCGCCGCCAGAGCCGCCGCCGGAGCAGGAGCTCGGTCCTCCCCGCTGGGCTCCGGGAGTCGCTGCGCCGTCGCCGCGGCGGCGGGCTCCATTGCAGTGGGGCTTCGCGTTTCCCCCCCAGCTCCGGAGGCAGCGGGCGGAGAGGGAGGCGGAGAGGCGAAGGTGGGAGACGGCGGCGGCGGCGGCGGAGCGGGGAGAAGGGAGAAGCCAATGGCGTTCGGCGCGGCCGTTCCAGGGGATTATGTGGCAATTCGGAGCATTCCGTCGATGTCTCGGTGTTCCATCCCGCGCGCCCGCCCGCCGGCCTCGCCGCCACCGCCCCCCCACACACGCCCTCCCCGCCCGGGTCGCGGGCTCCCGAGCGCAGGCCCCGCCCGCTCCCCCCACCTTACCCGGGCGAACCAGCCGCGAAGCTGGGCTTATTGAATATTAATCACGTGCCGGGAGCGGGAAAGCGGGAGGCGGGCGGGGCGGAGCTCCACGCAGGCCTCATGAATATGCATCATTAGCATGACGGCCTTCCAGGGAGGAGTGGGAACAGCCGGAGGACGGCGGGGAGGCGGGGCTTCAGGGTAAACAAACGTTACGCGTGCGTACGAGGGAGGGGCGATGGGGCAGTTTCCCGGGAGGTTCCTGCGTGGAACTCAGAGAGGGGGCCGCCGAGAATGGAGAGGCGCGCTGTGCACCTTGGGAGTTGTAGTTCTATTGCCGGTAGGGGCGGACCTGAGGGAAACATGGAGAACTACAAGCCCCAGAGATCCTTAGGTTACGCCCCCCCCCCCCCCCCCCCCCCCCCCCCCCCCCCCCCCCCCGCCTTGCAGCCGGCAGCTGGCGGTGGACAGCGTGTATTGTGCCCCCTGCTGTTGAACTCTGTGGCCAGGAATGTTCTTGTTCATTAACTTGTACCCGACCTGGCCACTCCCGCTCCCCAGAAGACTTTCATTTTTTTCTGCTAATTGAAAGTGAGGGCTTTGAGGGACTGTAAACGGTACGAAGGTCCCCAGTCCTTGGTCCTTATCTCCACCCGTTATATGAGATACTATTTATATCAGCTCACGGCAGGATAACTGGCCGTCAAAGTGGGCCAACCTCACTTTTTCCCCACTTTTGCAAGGCCGGGGAAGACAGGCAGTGTCCGGAACTTCTAACTTGGACGATTGTTGAATGTGTTTGGTGGAAATCGTGCAATCCCGAACCAATCCTCTCCCTCTCCTATATCTGAGAAGGAAAAGGGCAAAGGGCTGAGATCGCATTTTTGCCCATTGATCTTAAAGTTTGAAGTAACTTAACGACACAGAAAGCAGTGGAAAGTGGAAGAAACGTTAGAATGGAGACGGTGGGATATGAGATGGGCTGGTCTTGTGTGTTCTCTCTTACGTCTTCCCTTGTTTGGGTTTTTTTTTCAATATTCAGAAAATTTTATTTTCTACTGCTGCGGTGTTTAGTTGTGGTCTGAAAAGTTGCTCTTTCTTATTAGTTAAAACTATTGTGAACTAGACTAGGGTAGCTTACTATTAAAAAGAATTTAGTAAACCTTTTTAATTGAATTACCATTCAGATTGTTTTATAAATCTGGATTTTCACATATGAGACTCAGCTGCGTACTATCCAGGGCTTGCCTTAACTTAAAGTTTCTAAACTTGCGAGCGACGGGGGAAGAGAGAGACAGAGAGAGATCAACTGGAACTTATAGCTGAAATAGAAATTGATACAGGCAAGGAAAGTCGTGCTTAGGTTATCTACATAGTTTCATTGAAGAGGAATGTGGGTAGCTAGTAGGGCAAAAAATATTTCTCTTGATTCTTAAAATTTATGAAAATTATTTTCTGTATTTTTCCTTTGAAGTCTTACCCCTTGGCCTCATGAAACTAATTTTTATTGCATTTCAATTCAATCAACAGCACAGAGTTCCATGTTTTGAAATTAGGGAGAATGCAAATTCTCCCAAGAGAGATAAGATAGTCAAGTCAATTAATTTAACAAATAATTATATAACATTTTATATACCAGTTGCTGTGTTACAACAATCGAATAAATCAGACACTGTCCTTGCTTTCATAGAGTTTATAGATTAGAGAAAAAGGCATTCAACAAGTGAGAAGGGTGTAGGGTAGGGGAAAATAGAAGATGCCATGGGAAGAGACAAAAATAAAACAAGGGGAACTGACCTAGTGTAGGAAGTCAGACAATAGAGACCTAACTTTGGATGATATTTTCCGGAATGAATGAAATGGAGCAGTTGATGAAGAATTAGTCTCTGAGAGAAAGCAAAGAGGCAGAGAAAGAGGTAAGATATTAAAGGTAAATTTCAACTATACTATTCCATATGTTGCCTTCAGTAGCCCCTAAACAATTAGTTTTAGAAATGAAAAGAATGGTATTTTAATTTAGCCTTCCTTTAATAAGATTAAAAAACAGAGCATGTTAAAGTTCAGTACTAAAACGTGGACTGTTTGTATCCCTTTATATTTGTTGGTTCCTTAATTGATTTCCTACAAACCTCTTTAATGTTTGCTATATTAAGAAATATATATTAACTCCCAAATATCTGCTTTCTAGAGTTATATTTCTTTAGCTAATGTAACAAACTCAAGGAAAGTTTTTTCTTAATCATAAATACTGTCACCATTTGGCCAATGTCCATGTGCATCCTCTCCAAGAAACTATAATAGTGTACTTAATCTATCTCTGGTTTATGTCATTTAGCTTTACAGTCACCACGACTCTGCCTTTTTATCCTCTAGGAATTTTATTTACTCTTTGAAGGCATCTGTAACCAAAACACCTCCTCCAAAAGGGAAAAAAATTAAAGAAAAAGCAATTCTCTGAATTACTCAGAGAATTTAGTATCCGAAGTATTGGAGGGGGGAGGGGTTGGGGAGTCAACATACACACCTGCCAGACTTGGTACAAGAGATTTCTAAATTGGGAGGAGGAGAGGAATAATGAATACTGGTAAAGTATCTCAACATCAAGAAAAATGAAGTACATTCCAGACTCAAAAAAACATTGTTGGGGGGTGGGGAAGAGGGCAGAATGTAGAATATAATTTCTACATAGAGAAACTATTTCATGCATAGTGTCCTTAATCTGAAAGATGCCATATTCCATTGTACGCAGAATAATAAAACTCAGAGTTGAGAGGAGAGTAGAAAAGCAAGGGTCTATGGTGTGTTCCATCCCTTGTTCCACTTCCAAATCTTTAATAAAGTTACTAAACTTGGGCATGAGAGGAGAGAGAGAAAGAAGATGAGAGTTCATAAAGAATAGGACAGTCTAGATCAACTGGAACCTCGTAGTTGAAATAACAGACATTGATGAGGACAATGAAACTTGTACTAAGAGCTTGCTGGTATCGTGGAACTTCATCCAGACCATCTGCCAACCCATACTGTATAACTTCTCTGAATAAGAAAGGATTTTGGTCAAGGACAAATGTTTTCCAGACCCTCATGAAATAGCAGCTTCTCCTACTTAAAAGAAGAGTGGGGAATAGGCCCGTATCCTGAAACCACGTAACTAACTCATGAATGTCTCCCACCCGTTAAAGTGTTCCAAATGTTCAATCTAATACGACATTTCTGACTAGCCACACTTTTCAAAGAATCACATCTTAAAATGTTAAAAGATAATCCTGAAAAGAAACAACAGATGTAAAAGTTGCAAACCCTGATGCCAACTTGTTAAAATATTTTCACAGCTAAGTATAGAAAAAGGGAACATAATTTTCAATTTACTGCCACAGTTTATTTTATGCTGTGCGATTTATAACTGACTTGCTGTGTTTTGCATCTAGGTTAATCCTGTTTGCATCCTTAGATCCAAGATAAAAGAAACCATCTCTGGAAATTTTTTTCTTAATAATAGCAGTTGGAATTTTAATAGAGGCATGAATTGATAGCTGGGATGGTTTCAGTCTGAACTGTTAAGGGCTCAGCTGTGTCCAGAAATAAACTCAGAAAGATGCAATATACAATGTAATACATTTAGTTAGTACATTATGAGCAAGGAATCTAATTATAGTTTCACATTTTTGTATCCCTTGAGCTACTAGTGGTTTACCATGCCCAAATTGCTCACTGTTTACTCATTCTTTTTTACTAGGAGGGACCCATTTAGCCAATTACTGCTCTACTGCACTAAGTGGGGCCCAGGTGGCCAAACTGAATTCACATGTTCCCTGCTCACTGCAGGATGAGATGGTCTGGGCTCTCTAAAGCCTTACCCCTCCCTCACAAAACTTATCCTTTCAACTCTATCAAGAACTTAGATTGCCAATATCATCTTAGGTAGTCCACTTTATAGATACAGCTTGATAGCTTTTCAGATTTTAGTGTGCCCTTTTTAGTCCCATAATTCTTTATCTTATTTCGCACATCCAGCCTTATGGAAATAAACAGATATGTATATCTGTGTCACAACAACTAACTATTAGACCAAGAAATAGAGATCATGTAATCCCACCACTTCTGGTAACAATGTAAATCATCTGGGACGTTCATTCAATAAGTATTTATTGACCTTTTATGTGTAGGCACCACTTCCAGTAAATAGTATAGACGAAAATACCTCTTCTAAGGAAGTTTATGTATAGGCATTGTCATTTTTTTAATCTTTAGTTAAAATTGACCTATCTTCTTCTTTTGTATAGATGGTTCTTATTTTAAGTAAATGGAATAAATGAAAATCTACATCTATAACATACAGTATAAATATTTCTTCCCAAAGTATTCTTTACTCTTCCTCTTATACATATGTGAATTCATCATACAATTGTTTTAACTACTGGGCTCCTGTAATATTAATGCATTTAAAGTATGTTAATTTTAAAAGTTGATTTATATCCACTTTTTTAGAAACCCATTTTGGGTTCTAACAGGTGCCTAACACTGCTTCCATCAAGATTCATATCTAACAAAAATCATTCTTACGTCATCCAAAGCATGTCCCCTGAATCTTCCATGACTAAATTAGAAAAGTATCCAATAATGATTTCTCTATACTTAGAGTCATTAGTTATACTCTGAAGAGGCAGCATGGTTATTCTCCTTTTTGCCCCAAAATAGAAAGATTATGAGACACAATCAGTCCCTAGAAATCTTGCCTTTCCCCTCTGTTTCCCACCACATCCACTGGTCTGGACTCCTAGACACATTGTTTCTTAGGGCTGCTGCAACAAAGTACCATGAATTGGGTGGCTCGAAACAGCAGAAATTTATCCTCTCACACTTCTGGAGGCTGC